CCACAGCCTTCAGCCAGTACCAGCCTCAGCAGCTGCAAGCTGACCGCATGCAATAGCAACCACTGCAAGCACTGGACATGCAGAGGAGAGGCCCGCCCCTGCCCACAGCTGATTAGGTCAGGAGAAGGAGCAGCAAAGGAAAAGGAAGTGAGAGCAGCTTTAAGAATGGGCGTGCCAGCAACTTGGAGGCAGAGTCATTTTAAAAAAGATTGAATCATGATGAGGTGGGAACTCTTTTAACAGTAACTTTACCCTTTGCTGTGCTTCAACCAAAAGAAAAATGAAAAAAATGGCAGAACAAAAAATGGAAAGTGATTTACTATTATTGTTGCTGTTGTTAATATTACTATGATTCTCATTACTTTTATCATTGTATTAAAGTACTTATTTCTAGAGAAGAAAAGCAGGAACTAATCCTTGTCCTCGGTATAGCTGTCAAACTCAGCCTTTAAGTCCTATTGCTGTCTTTAACATTAGTTTAGGAAATATTTGTTTTTTTTTTCTTGTGGTGTTCCACAAGCATTTTTGCTTATTTGATGCCCTCGTTTAATTTATATTTATTACTGTTATTGTTTTACAAATTGAGGGCACTCCTTGTTTGTTTTGTCATTTAAAGTGCATTTTTTAGTTAATATAATCAGGGAAATGGAACCGTTTCCAAAGTGTTAGCTATTATTTTTTGACCTCTGTCAGGAAGTGGAGGAGTTGTAACTTGTTGTGTCACACATATTTGAAGAACTACTTTTTTATCTTCCTGATGCTGAATGTCCATTTTTTTCCTTTTTATTTTTGTCTTTACGTATCTCGACCTCTTGACCTATGCAAAGCAAACAAATCACTGGGAGAAAAAAAATGAGAAAAAGACTGAAAATGTCATCAACTCTGACTTGACTCTTGGAGTAAAAGGTGGACTTGGAAAACAAAGGCACTGACAAAAGGAGAGTGGTTGAAAGCAGCTTCAGACAATGAGAAACACTAAATTAGTTGCTTTTCCACATTGTATTCACATGCACAACCACACATGCATCCAGAGTCACACACATAGCAGTCAAAGACAAAGGCAGCACAGTTGTGTTTCTCTCTGCCTCTGGGATGTAGAGGAAGAGAACGAAAGCTGGAGAGACGAAAGCTGGAGAGAGCAGCTGCGGGGGGGGGGGTGGACGGGGCTGCGCCGTGCCGACGGATCACTCTGGAAAGAACGCATCACTTGTGCTCGTTTGTTGAGCTGTCACATTTTAATCTCGCACCCCCAGTTCATTCAACCCTGCCGCTGTCACCACTTCCACCTCTGTGCTGCTGTAGTCTGGTGTCAGGTACACACTCAAAAACACACACTTTTACCAAAACCACCCCAACAATCAGCCTGCCTCATGTCTGTCAGGAACACCAGGTGGAGTGGAGAGGGTGAGGTTTACTGCTTGTGTGCCTTTACATTTTTTCTGCTATTTAAGAGAGAAAACTGAAAAAAAGAAAACAGAGAAATCAACTATTTAAGATATTTATTTTTTGAGGGCTAACTATGTTGATGCTCTGAGAGACTTAGCGGTGGTACTGTATGAATAATATTATTGTATTCATCTCAAGGCATATATAAGTTATCGATTAGTTTTAGTAATAATATTATTATAATTATTATTATTAACATACTCAACCAAAATTGTTGATGAAGGAATTATTTAAAATACTGTTATGTGCACTGTACTTTTATTTTTTATCTTATTGATTTTTTTGAACATGACATTAAATATTAGCTCGATGCCTTTTGTATGGAAGAACTTTATTTAAATGCAGACCTGTTTGCATGCAGATTGTACTCTGCCTCTTCTGTGTTTACATGAGAGGAAATAATAATAACGATCTTGACAAAAACTAGAAAAAATGCTGCTTTCTCCACCAGAATGGATAGTTGTCATCAAGGTTTTAGTAGCTGTGCTTTTTTGCTTAATATTCATCAGATGGGCTATTTTACACTGTTGGGAATGTTTATACTTGAACTATTCTTACAAGGGAAATATGAAAAATAAACAGCAAAAACCTTTTTAAGGAGGCATTTTACTGTTGCTGGATGAAGGCATGTAAAGTATTGTTATTTGAATGCAAAGGTCCTGTTGATATTTAAACCTTTATATCAGGTTTTCATCAAAACTGACTCACAATCAGAATAAAATGTTCTGTATTTAAAATGCTTGGTGATATTTGTTTTCATGAACTCAAAAATGTGAGGTCATTTCAACATGAAACACCTCATTTCACACACACCCGCATGCTGTTGGCTCTCTTCACATGCTTCCTTACACTCGTGCGGATCCAGCTGTGCAGCAGCGATGGACCCGGCCGGGAGTAAATAAGGAGTGTAGCCAACATTACCTGAAGAAAGTGTCTCTTTTTTGCACAAAATAAACAGTTTGATTTTTGATAATGTGTGGTTTATTACTGTATTTCATAGAACTAGGGGTTTAATTACCTTTTACATGTATTTCAAATGTGCCACCCCTCTCTGAGTCTGTGCCCCGGCCTGGCCACCCCGTCCAAAAGTTTCTAGATCTACCCCTATTTACAGTTTTTTGTACACTTCTTTTGTGCCCGTGCGCATGTGTATTTGTGTGTCTGCTTTACTGCCTGTCTGGCTGCAGCTGCAAGGTGACAAACACATCACACATGCTATATGCTGCTCTGCTCCTCATTGTGAAACCACCTTGAGGAGAAGTTATTTGAAACACTCTCATTAAAGTCACACCCAGAGTTTGCATGGATCCAAGTGATACGTAATAAGGTTCCTTGTGGCTCAGTTTATCAATGATTCATCCTTTCTCTAATCAATAAGTCATGTTAAAATGAGTAGTTCCCTTCTTTCACCCAGCTCCAGGGCGTATTTTTGGTCCTTGGTGAAACATGAAACTGTAAGTGGGTGACTGTAACACATCATGGATACAGCAAGGCCTTATGGGTAAAATCAGAAGCTATCTGAACTTATTACATTAAAGCTTTTTCTTTATTAAAATGAATGACAGCACTTTGATGAAATTTGATGGGCACTAGTTCAATTGACTCATTATGGAGAATATGACTGAAAACATTTGGGAGCTACATATAATGTCTTCTTTGACTCTGGTGGTGGCTGGTTTGTGTTTGAACACTATACTGAACGCCTGCAGGTGTGTGGAGTCTGTGCTATGTTCAGGTGATAGCACTAAGACTGTAAGAAGGAAGTGAGTGGGGAAAGATGTTCAAGTCAGCTTCCAAATGGTAAAAGAACTACAGAAGTGTCAACATGGCTGTTAATTTGTATCTGGTTTGTTAATTAATTTAACTACTACAAATACATAACAGAACAAAACTTAGATGTTTGGGAGTGGCCTGATGCTTGAGAGGTTAGGGTGCTGACCACAAATCTCTTCTCATGTCCTGCCATGGACTTTTGTTGCGATTTATAAAAGCAAAACAAGCCAATTAACCAATCCTCTGGTGACTACAAGACCACTGGCAAGTCAGGATAATAAGGACAGAGAAGGGATCTCATCCCATTCTGATGACATTGTGTGAATGGAACATAATAAAAGATACAATCACGTTGCATTATGGGAATTAAAGAGACCAATGTTTTTGAGCATGGCCCATACTGGAGGAGTCAAAATATTTCAGCCTCTGCTGCTTCACCTTTGACCAAACCTTTTAAACCTGTATATCTCAAATCACACAACTTGAGGAAAGTGTGACACTAAATCAGTGGAGTACCCCTTTAAACTTGCAGGCTCATGTAGGTGTTATAGAACTCTACACCTGCAGACTCAGGCCTATCAGCATCCAGGAAATTACCTACTTTTGACCTACATGGGCTCATCAGTTGTTATAAATACTGCAGTTCTCATGTTTGGGGAATGTGAAAAGGAGGATTTCCAAGCTGGGGGTCACCATAGGATGAAACCACGTTAAAAATAAAGAAGACGACGATGATGATGATGACTGCAAGGGCACAACAGTAGTATTGTGTCCATTTCCCATGACAGACCCATGCAGATGTCTTTGCCACAGCGTCTATCAGTCGTCTATTTTTAGCAGGCTCTGAAGCTGCCATTTGCCTGCGAGGTAAGCGTCCGTCTGCTCCTGGGGAGATACTGCGGCACTGAGTCATGGTCCCATTGCTGTGTGGCTCTCAGGTTCTTCGTGTTGCTTAATTAGGGCATCCCGGAAGAGGCCCGGTGCTGTGCGCAGCTGACTGACGGGGCAGGGAGGCAGGACGAGAGCGCACGGCAACAGCACACAGTCCCGAATCCGTCCCAGGGTATACACAACAAAATATCCGGACAGAAATTTGCTGCGGACCAGTGAGGGAGGTAGGTCGCCTCTCTACCGACGAATCTTTAACTGAATGTTAAGTTCAATTGATTTTCGGGGTGGGGGGGATTATGTGCTGCGATGGGGGTGTGTGACTGGGATATGTTCGTGCCCAAACAAAGTCATCTTCACCTGTTCCCTGCGCGCCACGCTTTCTTATTTTTTGGGCACAGAATTGACGCAATGTGAGAATACGCCATACTGACCTGAACGTTTTGTTTTATCGCTTTTGTCTTTTGGAGAAACGTTTGTCTTTGTGGCGTGGACCACAGGGCATCGGATTTGAGGTTCTGTCAAGATGCAGCGCAAAGACACGTTTTGTTATGAGGCATCGTTATTCACCTTCTCTTTGGCCCGAGAGAGGTTGTGTGGCTCTAATGATGAGTTTGAAACAGCCTATTAATGTTCCAAACTAATTGTATAGGCTGATTTTTTGAATCTCCTAATTTTTAACCAAACGCAAAACAATCTCATCTTATGATCTATTTAGTAGCTTTTCTATTAGATCACGTCTCTTTCTAGTTGTCTTCCGACTTTTACCTTTTAACTTAACTGTTACGCCAGAACAAAGACACCAGAAATAGAATATCTTCATTTATGTGAACAATTGGGAAAATTCCATCTGCAGATGAAGACCATGTGACATGATCAGAAGCTCCCAGGCAGCTACTATGGAATTCCATGTACATCAGCTACTGATTTTATAATACATTGATGTCACATGTTATTAACCATTTAATATTCAGTCAGTTATCTTTACAGCCTGTTGGTTATGGTAGAGCATATAAATCAAGATGCCACAGCAGTTTGGACTTTCACCAACAGCTCATACAGTTTAAATGGCTGCAGGGCATGTAGCATAAAGACTGCTCTGACCAAACATTTATTTACCTAGATTTACTTTATTCCTATTCTCCATAAACTCAGAGTACCACAGAGGACGGTGGGGCCTGCATTAGAATATCTTACCCCCATAGCAGCTAACTCCAGGCTGTGGCCTAATATAGCTCCACAGATCAGATACCAGGCTATAGACACATGCAGGCCAGGGTGAAGCCAGTGATGACGCCAGAGCATGTGTGCTTCCTCAGCTGTTGGCTTTGGTCTGGGGTCTTTATGTGGCAGATGCTGTGGCCCACCTGCCTGAAAGTTAGGTGTTCTTATAGCTGAGGCTAGTAAAGGCCAGCAGTGTCTATGCTTCATGCTGTTGCTGGAAATGAATACATGATCTATATATGATTGCAACACTGGGTGTTTTTCTGGTACTTCTCAGCCTTTGCTCCACAGAACTGTATTTATGATACAACCAGCAGGCTGGAACCCACAGCGACTGTTTTCTATTCAGTTTTTGTGATGAGATGAATAAAGAAAGTTCATATGAAAAGCTAAATGAGTCGTGTCTTCGGCTGTGTCTTTGCATTGCCATGGAGAGTTTGGCTGGTTGACAATACAATCAGTACAGACACTGGCTGTTTCTGAATCATGGCTCTCATCCAAGTTTGACATTATTATTGGGGGAGACAGTGATTAAGTGTTTATGCAGTAGTTGATCCATTGTCCTCTGTGTAATGTGTAAAATTTAAAGCTTTAGCAGGGTAAAAACAGCCACTTTGTTTATAGACTAATCTTCTTCGTGAATCAGTTAATAGTCTACAGAACTGCACAATATGTGTTACCAGAACCTGTGTTTGCTCCAGCTGAAGAAATAAATCTGACCCCGCTTGATCCAAGCACCTTTCCTGGAGCAGAGCTGACCTTGTTGGTTCAGATCTGACTTGATGCACACTTGTTTTCAACCGGCATCCAGCTCTCCAGGTTTCTGGTCTTGCCTAAGCATTGTTGTTGTGACCCAGAGAGCAGAATTAGCAGCTGAGTCCTGTGACAAGGCATCTGGCACCGCTGAGCAAATTTTCCAGAGAGATGACTGGAGGACGCCCATCCTCATAGTGCATAATTGCTAGACATAATTTAGAGAGATTACAGACAGGGGACACAGGTCAGTCCACATAGCTGCCATACTAATGAAAAGGATCACAGTGGTTTTATATCTCATTGTGTAAAGCAAATAAAACAATCTATAGCTCACACCACTGAACTGTGTGTTGGACATGCAGGTAGCAGGTGTCAGATTAGGGGGCGCGTGTTACCTAGCAGTAGTTTACGTAAACATGCCCTGGGCTGCTGGATTGAATTCCACTCTGTTGACTAATAAAAACTGGAAACAGGCCTGCATTACCTCTTGATGAGGCAGATGACTGATCAGTGGTCAGGACGGAGATACAATGTGTTTTGTACCACTATCACTAATGCATTTCAGTGGTGTTTGATTACAGTTGGAGATTTGTTTACCTCTCAGGTCAGCTAACCTCGTCACCTCCAAACTGAATTTGGGTCCTGTCTGTGTCATTATGGGTGTTGTACAAATGCTGTTGCAGTCTAGTCTGTGTGTAGGTTCTGGTATCCCCCCCCCTAGAGCATACAAAAGTATTAGCATCAAAGCATACTTAAAGTACTAAAAGTAAAAGTATTCATTATACAGAATGGTACAGTTCACATTAATGTATATCATATTGGATTATAATTGCTGATGCATTATGTGTGTACTTCACGTTTAATGTTGCAGCTGGTAAAGAGGGAGCTTTATACGCTTATAATTTGAAGTACTGCTGGGTGGCTTATGAATTTTCCTCGAGAGATGAATAAAGTCTTATGATTATATAGTAGAATTTTTTTGTATTAATCTGGTTTTGAAAAATAACTAGTGACTAAAGTTAGAAAATAAATGTAATGGGGTAAAAAGTTCAATATTTTCCACTAAAATGTTGGGAAGTAGAACCATGAAGTAGCACAAAATGAAAATACTCAAGTACAGATATCTCAAAATTGTATTTAAGTGCATTATGTGAGTAAATGTACCTAGCTTCCTTCCACCACTGGTTTTTACAAACATGCAGGGTCACTGAGGTCACTCTTTCTCTAAAAGCATCCCCACCAGTGAGCTAACGTTTTATATGTAATGCCCCTTTTCCACAATAAGCATTCAAACCGATGTGCGTTTACAAAGACAGGAAGCAGTTTCTTTGGTTTCATGTTTTAAATATCAGTGGATCTCCAGGTTTATCCATTACCTAGCAGATGAAGAAAACACCTCTTCCTTTTGTTTGTATAAAAATAGCATTTTCACAGGATGTCTGTCACTTTTTTACTGCACTAAATAACTCTCAGATTCTCCTGGCTCCAGTCTCTGTTCGTCCTTTAATTTATGTGATATGTTCATATGTTCAGTGGCAGAGGTTGTGACTGTGGCAGGAGGCCAAGCAGCTCAGAGACAATGTTCACGTCGTATGTCACTCTCCGCTCCTGACGTGTTCTGAAAGCTAGAAGCAGCAATGCGTAGAGGTTGGGCAGTAAATGTGACTCAGTTCTGATGTCTGAGCTGCCTGTAAAGAAGGGGAAACAAAAGAACAGTTTTGGATCAATAAAGATAATGTCACAAAACTAATCACCAACCGAAGACCAAGAAAATATTCCTGCTCTTGTTTCTAGGTTTGTCACCATGGATGGTTTAATGTTGCGGCTGGAGCGAGCTGTGACTCGCCTGGAGCAGGTATCCGTCACCATGCAGGCGTCCAGTGGCATGGCTAACGGGGACTGTGTCAATGGCATCGATGGAGGCAAGACTGTGCTTAAAAACTGCTTAACTCAGAGGTTTAGAGGATAGATCAAACCCAGTTTATACTTTTCTTGTGTGAAAAAGGCAGTGGACATATTTAAGCATAAAACAGTCAGTGATTTGTCCTTGTGTCTTCAGGTTTGACTCAGTGTGTGGAGGCCTTCGACTTGCTACTGAGGGGTCCAGTGTCAGACTACGTGAACCACAGCCGAGCCATAGGAAGCGAGGTGGAGAAACATGTAAGTGCTCACCACAGATATTCAGAGTATAAAATGTCCCCATTCTACACAGATGTTGGCTGATGAATGATGACTCACTTGTAGACACAGCAGCTGTTGTAGACAGATGTCATCACAGCTGTTGTCATAATGATCTGCAGTTACAGTATGACAGATTTGTCAGCCTGTTGTCTGCAAAAGCAACTGAACTTTACACCCCAAGTTCAGTTTACTCTTTATGACAAGTGCTCCTGTGTTAATTATTTTTTTAATGTTCTGGAAAACTGAAGGATAGTAAGTGTGTGGGAGGTTCATCGTCCAAAAGTAGAAATCGGGCAGTGTGTGTGTGTGTGTGTGTGTGTGTGTGTGTGTGTGTGTGATGCTCATCCCACAAGAAGAGAGAGCGCGCGGTGTGTGTGTGTGTGTGTGTGTGTGTGTGTGTGTGTGTGTGTGTGTGTGTGTCACAGGTTTCCTGTCCTCTACAAAGCCAAGGATGGGAGTATGATTGAACTTTCCATTCATTTGTCAAAGTGCTAGTGGAGCACCTTCTGCTGGTTGATAATGATCCGTATTCCCACTAGGAGTGTAAGTGTGTTTTGTGTTAAGCCAGTTGGCAATAGTCGCTGTGTGATGTCCTTGGAATAAATCCAAAACAAACAGGGTGGGTTTCAAAACAGAGGACTAAAGGTAGTAAAAAAGAAATTATTTTGGAAAGAGCAAACTATTTCTGTAGGTTTCCCTCTGCACCTTGAAAGAAGATTTCTGTCTCTGTGTCCAGTCACTGTGCAGAGTGAGGAGGAGAGGGAGTGAGAGAGAGGGAGTTTCTTTAAGTTTGCAGAGCTCCTTTTAAGGACTGAGCCTGCCTGGTGGTTCCCTTGGCTCAAAACTGGAGGTCTCAAACACACACACACAGGACACGGCTGGCTGGGACGAACACAAGCTCTGTGTGCATTTTGTGTACTTGGATTTATGTGTGCAACAAAGACAGATTCACTGGCTGTAGTTTAACAAAAAGGCACCAGTAAAGCATGGAGAAAGAGAGGAAACCATGAAAATCCAGTTTTTTCAGGGAACTGTAACAATGTACTATATTCAGTATGTACAATATAGTTACAGTCCAGAAAACATGTTATGCCACCTGTACTGTATTATAACCTTAACCTATCTCACTTTGACAGGCAGAGATGGTGAAGGATGCCCTGCAGACTCAGAGAACGTTCCTCAAACTGGTCACCACACACCAGGAACCTGCACAGGTATAACAGCAGACAGTGACACATAGACCCACAAGTGGTGAGTAACTGGTCACATTACGTCCTCTGTGACTCCATGATTTGACTTTCAATAGAAGCAAATCTTATTAATTAGCTGTCTGGAATAACTTCCGAAATTTTGGCACAAATATTGGCTATACCTGTGTATGCCAATGATTACACAAATAAAATGTTTCAGATAATATACAGTATATAAAAACAGGCTTTTAAAGAAACCAACTACTTTGCTATGTGTGTTTTCCCTAAGCAATGCCTCAAAGATGTCAGATTTAGGAACCCAGAAGACTTATAAATCCATTACTTCAGAGCATGGGCTGTTTAATCCTCACAATTTCTACTTATCTCTGAGGCCTAGCTTCGACTATAAGACAGTCGAGTTGGCACCTTGGTGGCCCAGGGCTTCAAGGAGCCGGCCATGAGCTGCAGCATCCCCGGCCTAAGTCTGACCGGGGACCTTTGTTGCTTGTCATTCCCTATCTGTGTCTGTCCTTCTATCATCTCTCCAATACTGGCATCCCCTGTGCTGATGTGTGCACACTCTGATTTTTGTGCTTTAGATTTGGACTTACGATGTGAATTCACCCCGGCTCCTCCTTATTCTGTCTTTGGTTTGTTGTGATATTCTTTACCTCTGGTATTAGCAGTTAAGGTCACTCTTTGCTGGTTTTATTAGAATGTAGCTAAGAGTGGTGGAAATGATGGTATCATGCGACTTGATACAGCATTATGATTGTCTGCTGCTGTATGCATTTCTTCTAACAGCTAAGTTGTGCAAATGTTTTGCAATTAATTGCACTGGATGGAATACAGTCTCTCACATTTAACAGCAGCCAGACAATGAACTGACCGATCTCTCAGTCTGTCCCCCCCCCCCCTGTGTTACCCAGCAGGCTAGGCTGTTCACAGAGGGCTTAATCTGCTCTTTGACTACAAATATGCTAATACAACACATTCCCAGCATGTTCACTTATAAAGAAAAGGGTGGTGGGAGAGAAAGCTGTGTGTGTGAGCTCTAATATGATATCATCCCATTGGATTTCAGTGTGTATTTGTGTGTTGGAGGATTCCACAGAGCCCACCAGGAAGTGATTACTCCCTATTTGTCAGGCCATTGGTTCAGAGGTGCTGAAAAGAGCATTCAGCAACTGTCAGACATGCAAACAAGAAAAGAGTGAGGGTTTTACAGAGAAAGGACTGACCCAGGGGAGGGGTGGGGTGACAGAGAGGAATAGGTCCTGTCTCTTTTTCAAGCCTCTTCCAAAACAATGTATTTGCCACAGAAAGCATCTTTCTTCTGTCTTATGAACATTTGAAACATATTTCAAACTAAATGGGCATCCACCAAAGCTGTAGATTAGAAATCTGAGAGGTGAACTTTTAGGTCACAAAAACGAAGACTTGAGGTTTCATTTGTACTTGACTGCTGTGACACTTAACTTAACTTGCCACTAAAGTAATAGATTTAACTTATTTAACAGAAAATCCCAGTATAATGTTTCAGATTTTCTACAAGGCAGATTAAATAAACTGCTTGAGAGAAAATATATTGTCTAGTGGAAGTGATCCACAAACCACCCAATGCACATACTAAATTCCCGTTAACATAAACCACCCGTACAAGCACTCTCTCACACAGCTCACAAACCTCTGGCCTTTCTCTGCAGTGCAGCCCTGTTGTGCTCTCTGACTTTTTATGGGCATGTTCTATATTTGAGCCTGTTGTCAAGTGTGTGTGTGTGTGTGTGTGTGTGTGTGTGAGAAAGAGTTAGTCTGAGACAAAGACAGAGAGAGAGAGAGACCAAAGGAAAGTAAGCCTCTCACTCATGTGACCTCAGGTTGTCTGTTAGCTTGATGCGCGTGATTGTGCGTATTTGTCTGTCTTGCTGGTTTTGGAGGTTCACACACACCACTGTGTTTAAAAACAGCTCTTCCCCTGCTCTCACCCACAACTCTCTACCTTTGATCCAGTACTTTTATAGGTAGTCGGATGCTGTGCTGTTGTGCTCATTCGTTGCCCATCAAATAATGTGAGCCCACACTTTTAACTGGCTCCTTCTCTTAATGTCTTCTACATGCCTTCACATTAACTTCTCTACATGTCGTATGTAGTCATGGTTAGACAAATATAGTTTTAGGAAGACTGAGGTATAGTTACTGTATATAGCTATGGAAATTATGAATCAATTTAGCTAATCTTAGAGCAAAATGCACATCAGTAAGCAATTCCATTTCATAACACCATGAGCTTTAGTTCTCTTGAGAACACATTGACACCATCATGTCCATATAGTAATGTTATAATGCGTCTGTGCCTGCAACAGCTGTGGCTGCGATATCTCAAGAATGCCTCGAGTGGATTTCTTCAAATTTGGCACCAGTGTTGTGGTTGAGTCATTAAACCTCGGGTCCGAGTTGCGTCTCAAGTCGCCAGCACACTTTGATGGAAATGTGTTGGATACATCATGGTGGGTGAACAGGTTTTAGTGTCAGTATCTTAGGCCAAATGGTCTATTAAAAAAGTCAGAGTCCTCGTCTCTGACTTCCCAGTCTGAATGCAGTCAGCGCTCGAGTCCAAGTTGAGTCACTAGTCGAGTCACTAGTCCTGAAAATCCAGACTGGAGTCTGAATCCTGGATTCAAGTACTACAACAGTGTTTGGAACAAGCATCCACTTAGTCTCAAGGATGAACTGATTAGATTTTGGTGATCAAAGGTCACTGTGACCTTATGTCCATCCCATTCTTTTGAACTCAGGAACACCTTGAGGGGTTTTCTTCCAGTTTGGCACAAACATCCACTTGGATTCAAGGACTATGTGACAAAGCTCTTCTCAGTCCTCCTTAAAAATAGGCTGTAAGTGAAGATAACATGTTTCTTACATGAAATTATTCACTGGAATCATACATGTCAATGTAGTGATAACTTCCATTTTGGCCCAGAAATACACTTAATATCTTTTTTAAAAATTTCTTTAAATTCTTCACCACATGTATTAAACGTATCTGAAGGACATGTGTGTAAACTGCAGCTTGACTCGTTGGCGGTATCTCTAGTTTATGTATTTTGCTTATGTACTTTGTAGGTCACCATGTTACCACTATGCTTAAAGCTCATTTTCATTTGCAGTCCCTGGGGCACAGTTAGAACACAGCGACAGGACAGCATTAAACAAACTAGACAGACACCACATATAACACCAGATTACACACAGTAGACTCATGTGTTCATAGGTGTTTTTATGCAGAAAAAACTCTCAAATTTGTATATTTTTAATTACATCATGTTTTCATGTTTGTATTCTGGATTTGATTTTCCAGCAATATAATTCATGAGGTACCCTACCAGCACATGCTTCTCAATGTAACACGTCTTAAACAAGATCAATTATTTTCACACAGACACTGTAGTAGAAGCTTGTCAGATTGCTGAAGGGTCTTACATGGAAAACTGACTCTGGCTCCGGTTCCGACATGATGCCTACACAGAACTTTGCCAGAACATTTACAGTAGGATACATTTGGAAACATGACTATTTCAGTACCAGAGCAGCTTTCTGAATAAAAAAAGAAGTTTGTCACAGCTCATTGCCGGTAAAAATTCCACATAGTGTCCAGTTCACTGCAAAACAAAATAGCTGGTGCAGTTCAACAATTCACTAATGAAACACTGTGTTCCTGAATGTATGTGTGTGCGGGCTCATGTGTGATAGGTAAACTGTAAACACTGGAAGAGTGGGATGCCTTACAAGGCCAGCGGGATCTCCCCATGAACCGAGGAATGTTTGTAGGAACAGAGCGATGGGGAGGGGAGCTAGATGAGGCCTGGAAGTTCTAATGGAAAAAGGCTCCGGCTAATAAAATTAGTTACTGTTCTGTAGCCTAGTATAGGAATTACTGTCTGGTATACAGAGCAGGCTGGGTATGGATGGGCAGGGGAAATAATGCAGGGGTTGTAATATCAGAAGTGTCTGAAACATGTTCAAGAGAATTCTGCATGTAAAAGAGACTGTTTTGTTTTGCACAAGAATGTGTCCACTGTAGTTGTCTAGCTCCCTCCTCTCTCGCCCAGTGTCAGCTGGGATCAGCTCCAACCCCGACACCCCCCACACCCACAGCCCTCTGAGGGATACGTGGTATAGCTAATAAATGGATGGATGGTTGAAATGTACTACATCTCACACTCCCAATCTCCCACCACCGTTCTCCTCTTTTATTCTCACTCATCTATTTTCCTCTTTCACTAATTTCTTCCTCTTTTCCTAATTCCTCTCTTCTTCTCCTGCAGACCGAGCTTCAGGACCTGCTGAAGCCAATTTCGGATCACATCCAGGAGATTCAGAACTTCAGAGAATGCAACCGTGGTAGCAGCCTCTTCAACCACCTTTCAGCTGTCAGCGAGAGCATCCCCGCTTTAGGCTGGGTCGCTGTGGTAAGTAAAAACTGCAATCACATGTACTCTTGCTCCCAAACACAGAAACCATACAGTATAGTACACAGAAGTGTATAACGTGTGTACAGGAGCACAAGGAAGGACATACAATAAACTAAAACATGAGCATGAATGTTTCCTGAAAAGGAAATGCACATGCAATCAGAGGTCATCTTAAATTGACTATAGTAGAATTCCAGGTCTAAGTATGAAGTGTAATTAAATGCATAAAAAACTATAATAATGTTGCATACACAGTAAATTACCTCATCCTCCAACTACATGGAGTATTTGTCTCTCTGTCTTTTTCATCAGTCTTTGTTTTCCATCAGTGCGAAATCTGGCCTTGTGAGTTTTGAGATGAAAATCTTTTAGATTAAAATAAATAAAAACCTCTGGTCAGTATAAGTTGCTGTCACGGGGCCACTTCCCCATCTCAAGCCTCTTCAACACAAACATTTAAATACAAGATGTCATTCTGAGCTCTTCTGCTTTTAATTTCAAATGAAGACAAATGCGCATTTGGGCCAGCTACTTTCCCAAAGCTGCGTGAGAAACGGTTTTGACTGCACCCTGACAGTGAGATAAAAGTGTTTCTAACAAACGTCTATCACTCTCAGAGTCAGAAACCGGGTCCATATGTGAAGGAGATGAATGATTCTGCCACCTTCTACACCAACAGGGTGCTGAAAGACTACAAGGATATGTAAGTACTATATAGCTACAGTTCACTGAAGGATAATCTTATAAAATTATTCTGTTCTTGTGATCCTGTTTTTGGGAAGTACAGCGGGTACGGAACATAAGTATTCAGACCCTTTGCTGTGACACTCATATATTTAACTTAGGTGCTGTCCATTTCTTCTGATCATCCCTGAGATGGTTCTACACCTTCATTTGAGTCCAGCTGTGTTTGATTATACTGATTGGACGTGATTAGGAAAGCCACACACCTGTCTATATAAGACCCTACAGCTCACACTGCATGTCAGAGCAAATGAGAATCATGAGGTCAAAGGAACTGCCTGAAGAGCTCAGAGACACAATTGTGGCAAGGCACAGATCTGGCCAAGGTTACAAAAAAAAATTTCTGCTGCACTTAAGGTGCCTAAGAGCACAGTGGCCTCCATAATCCTTAAATGGAAGACATTTGGGACGACCAGAACCCTTCCTAGAGCTGGCCGTCCGGCCAAACTGAGCTATCGGGGGAGAAGAGCCTTGGTGAGAGAGGTACAGAAGAACCCAAAGATGACTGTGGCTGAGCTCCAGAGATGCAGTCGGGAGATGGGAGAAAGTTGTAGAAAGTCAAAGAAAGTCAACCATCACTGCAGCCCTCCACCAGTCGGGGCTTTAGGGCAGAGTGCCCCGACGGAAGC